GACGATGAACCACAATCAACAGCTGAAGCAAAGGTTGATAGACCAGCTTTCTCATTATTTTAAGGTTTAGAGTTGGTTTCCATTAAAACCCTAGTTAAAACACTATCAATATAACAAAGAAACTACATTGATTAGTAGTTTCCCTGTCAATCACTTGCAAGCATTCAATAGCTTGTCTTGTCACTGGTACCGGTAACGTTTAAACGTCGTCTGCATCTAGCGATTTTATTTTATCTGGCAGTAATCATAGAGTAGTAAATTAAGGAAATGAGAGCTAAAAATGCGGTCGCGATGGGGGGAGGACTCGTAGTAGGACGATGACGTCATTAATTAGTTCAAATTTGCTCCACAAGCGGCGCGCCAGACGGACCCGGGATGAAGATGATGACGTCACCGTTTCTCGCGACTCGCGAGCGGAGAGAGCAGGCGTAATCAAATTCGTCTGCTACTTGATTTGTCAACTGTTGAGTTAGGTTAAGAAGCATTAATTTACTTGCAATAAGGTTTTTTGTAATAATTAGGCCTACAGTTTGATTAATTAAGTTATGTGGATGTTAGAACGTCAGTTTAACTCTTGAGAGTAATTAAGTGAACATAATTTATCGATGTAAATTAATTTAATAAGTTAAGTTAGCTCTTAAACTCAAGTAAGTTAGGCCTTAAAACTATTTTAACTGTGGGTGTGGGACATTTACATTAGTGAAGATATGACACTGTGACAAAACACCCTTAAATTTTAAATGATGTATGCATAACTTAGGGCCTAACGATTTCATTTCAATAACATCCAGTCAGTAACTTTAGTTGGTTACACTTAGAGCTATCCCAATTAATTTTGATAACTACTTGGCTGTAACCAGTAAAATAAAAAAACTAGGTTAACATTAAAAAACAAGCTCGAAGCCTTTGAATTAAGGCTATCTAACTTAGGCCTAGCTTATTCATTTGAGTTGTTAACAAATCAGTCGATAGATAAATCTAAAAACCTTGCCTACTTGGTCAGAATTGATCTGAAACTAAGATGCCAGATATAGTCTGTGGAAATACTGTAAGTTAGCATCTAATGTTCTAATAAAAAGCAAGCCTCGACTTGAAAACTAGGTTTGCTTTTATAGCAGTGAAAACCAGTTGAGTGTAGCAATCATGTTTCATGGTTTTTAATGAAACAATAAATATAAAAAAATGTTTATGGATATAATACAAAATACAAATGTTCCCACAAACTGCACTGCTAGCCTTTACTACTTCCTTCACCACTTCCTACGTCGTGGACCTTCTCCCTTCCTTCCATGACCTTAATGTAACTGCCACAAACGGTTCCCACTCTGCACTGCTAGCCTTCACTACTTCCTTTTCCCCTTCCTACCTCGTGGACCTAATTCCCTCTTCCCTCCCTTCCCATAGCATTTTAGGATTGCCGATACATTAGTCTAACAAGGGCAGCATTAAGGGTCAGTGAAATTCTGGTCAAACCCAAAAGCAGCGCCCCTTTTTTTCCTAGTGCGGGCGGGCGGTGGTTGGGGGGCACCCCTAAACCTCCAGTGCCCCTGGGCATATGCGCAGTCTGCCCGTTTATAAAAGTGGGCCTGAATCTAACTGACACAAAGGGTTCCCACACTCTGCACTACAATAGGTTGGTGTGTTGCTACAGAAAATAAAATGAGTGTCTTTTATTCAAATCTTGAACGCTTAATATGAAATAAACAAATTTGTCAAAACAAAAAAGTAAATCGGTTGGTGGTCTAGGTCTTATCAAGAGATCTGCGGTAACAGCTTATTCCCCATTTGGAAAATTCACTAGAATTAGGTGTAATGGCGGAGGCCGTATTAAATAAAAATAAGTAGTTTTTTAAACGATAAATACTTACCTTATACCATTGTCTATTGGATAATAGTCAAAGCTTATACCTAAATATTGAGAACTCACAGTACCTAAAATGTGCTGTGGTCAGGGAAATTAACAGAATTCCGTCAGGGAATTCTGTTAATACAATCACGTCACTTAAGATATTTTTGTGGGAACCCAGTTCAAATACCTTGGGAATTACTGGTAAAAGACTTAGGTCGGTATGATTTTACCTGTTCAAAGAGGCTTCCCAGGATTTGGGATGACAATTGATTGTACCCTTTTGAAATGAGCTGGTACATATTCCAGTCTTAACATTGTATTAAATAACATGGTAAAAACTTAATTCCTTTTTGTGGAAGCTCTATAAATATTTTGCCAGTTATGAGGTTGTAACCAGGAGCCTTGTCAGAATGAAGATCGTTGACGATGATTGATTTCACCTACGATGATATTTACTTCTGCAATGAGAAGTCAAGTTGTAATGGAGACTACAAATACTCAAATATCTCTTCCTCGTTGTTTACTTCTGCATTTGAATTGAACACATCCTCAAAGTATTGAGCAAAGGCTTCTCTGTGTTACATTTGGCCCAGGCAATTAGACTTTTAAAAAAAAGTTAATTTAAAGCTTAGGTCGTTTCATAACTCACCAGGAAATGCAGGCTCCCCCGGTGAAACAAGACGTCGCGAAATCTGCCAACTTACCAATATGGGAGCCGTGTTCGCGACTGGAATGCTATCCACCCCCTTAGCAAAATATAATGCTATGTAATAGTAATTTTTAATTTGGGTAATTCCGTTTGATATTAGAACAGTTTGACAACGAAACTTGTGTTTCCGTGACTGGAAAACTCTCCCCCCTCCCGATCTCTGATGTCAACATGACGTAGGAACCTGCTTGGGGGGGGGGGGGTAGTTGTCCGGGGGACAGTCTTCCGGTGACCCACTCCCCATAGTGAATAATCTTAGGCTTCGCCATAGGTGATAGAGATCGGGTACTTCTCACTGATGTACTTCTCATACCAGTGATTATTGATACTAGGGTTGCTTTCAGAGAGGTGAAAGCCAGTTGAGCGGAACAAACGTGATTTGATATTTGCATAAGTAACTAAATGTAAAAAAGTCAATAGATGTACTAATGCTGGTTTTATTGTTTAAGATTATAATAATTCAGTTTTGTTTTTACTACATCTTGTTATTCAGATACCTCTTCCAAAAGTACATTATGGTAGTTTTGACCAGGAAAATATTATCAGTTTATTTGGTGCAACACAAATAAACAACTCGATCAATTACCTATAACCTATACTTTACCTTCCTAATCTAACCTTACTTCAAAACACTTAATATAGTCACGAATACTCATAAACCCTGACCTACCTTCCCCACATGCTTAAATTAGATCAGTGTTCAATCTGCGTTTTATTAATAAGTGTAATAACTTACTGCACCGTCGATGTAATTCAACATAATATAACCTGTGATGTATTATCGGATTAAATATCGATTTCGATTCGGTTCAATATATCGCTTATTTAATCCTGATTTCTAACATTGGCTGTTTCTAATCAGCTGGCAACACAAATAGGTTCATGGTTTAAAAATGTTTAAAAGGAAAGTCTAGAAAGTTCAGAAATACCTTATGATTCTCTTGTTTACATTTTTCTTGTAAACAAAAAACTGTCATATGGCTACTTTAGTCCCATAAGCCTAATGTTAAAATTTGGAAATTTTAAGTTCGTTTTAAATTGCACGAGAGCACGCCCCATGGTCGAAAAATCGACCAAAAGTATGTTTTGTGCAATCTTCTCTATTTTCACCCCACACTGTTAAATAAAACATGTGATTGGAATGTCTTCCATTTGTTTTGATTTTCTGTTTATATTTTGTTGTTATTTCGTCATCACCATAGCAACCCATAAAACCCATGTTAATTTTTTAAAATTTCAAATTCATTTTTTGTGCTTATTTTTGTGCCTATTTTAGTTTTTAAAGGGATTCTGCACACCTACAGGAAAATAGCTTTCTAACGGTATGCGTAGATTTTCCGTACGATACACACGAGCTGAGAAAAAAGGTTTTAAAGAAACATGCTTGCCTATTAATATATAGATTTCTAACGGTATGCGTAGATTTTCCGTACGATACACACGAGCTGAGAAAAAAGGTTTTAAAGAAACATGCTTGCCTATTAATATATAGATAGATAGATTAGCATTATCTAATTGAAATTTGTTTGTTTATTAACCATCTCACTATTAGTCTAAGTAATCTTGTTAAGTTTAGCTGAAATGTGTTCTGCCGTTATTGAGTGATGTTGCTTTATTTGTTGCATTGAAGTTGATCCCAAAGAGCTACGCTCGCTTCGCTCAATTATATAACAACCGCTTTAAATGTTAAGATGACCTAAAATGTTTATCAATTGGATTCCTGCTATTTTGCCAGATTCTTCTCAAAATATATCCATAAGCATTAAGCAATCAAACTACGTAAAACAGTTTAGGCTACTTACAGTATCCTCCAAAAGATTAAAAAGGAAATTTTGAATTTTTTTTTTTCTCCGTTACCAATAATTGTACAAACACTTTAATGTACTAAATTATTTTTATATTTTTAAGCTATTCAAAATGGTTTAGAGAAGAATTGGGAATTTTTATGTTTTGAGGGTCAAAAATTAGAAAAACCCCATAACACCCTGTTCCCATAGTCTGATCGTGCTGGTTCGGGAACTCATTCAAGTTTATCCTGCCCTACACCTTCAAGCCAAATTTCATCAAAACCAGACAAAATGACTTGAGTTATCACGTTCACGGACACATATATAGTTGTTATATATATATAACAATTTGAATGAATGGTTTTTTTGGCCTCTAAGGACATCAAAATGAAAAAGTATATCAGTCCCGGGTCTAGGTCTGATCGTGCCACCTACAGTGATAGTTAATTCTCTTAATACATTCGATATGCTTGATAGGGTCACATAAATATATCTTAAGACTAATATTTTCTCACTACTTAAACCAAAAATAGCAATATAGGCCTACCTTGGACAAATTGTAAATATTAATCAATTGAAACAAAAGAGTTGTTGAAATATAGTTTTATTTATAAAACACACATATTTATTTTCCAAAGCTAGCTTTTAAAATTTAGGTGTTAATTTTGTAAAGTAAAAGAATAAAATGTTAAATTAAAAATAACCATTCTTGGTCTTTGTTTCCAAGTGTTGGGTGTTGCTTGGCTCCAGAACCAGGAATATTGTCCCATTTGTTCCTAAAGAAAATTGAAAAACTATAGTACAATATGGCAATGTACATTGTTGTAACAATATTTTTGGTCTGTAGACTGGCATAGATTTAAAACATTGACAAATTGATCGGCTGTTGGCAAAATATTTTTCCTACAGTTACCTAACAATGTGCATGTTCTCTCACTGATTTTAGAAAGCAAAGTGGCCAATTCGCTCATCCTAATTACTTTGTCTCAATCACTCCAGATTTGCAACGTGAAGGCACGAAATAGTGAGCGTGTAACATGCAGACAAGGTCGTATGCGCGCAATATACGTTGGCAGCACTGGCTGTAAATCAGCTGGTCAGCTGTTGTATCATTAAATGTAATATTAAAAGTTCACTTCTGTGTAAAAATATGTCATGTTTCTTTACCATTTATTTGTTTTATGGTAACTGTAGGAAAAATATAATGTACAACTCGAGTGCAAAGTGCAATTGCCTCACTCGAGAAACCATTCCACACTCGCCTACGGCTCGTGAGTAAGTATTTCTCTCGAGTGAGTCAATTGCTCCCTTTTCTCACTAGTTGCACAAATAACTATATTAGAGAGGAAGAAACAGAATAGACACATCTCTTCTGACTGCAACACTTGAAATAATTTTCACTCTGTAAAAAACATTCATCGTCAATTTTTTATGTTCTGGAACTTAAGTGTTATATTTTTCACTATGCCAAGTCATAAACTGTACCTATACAGTAGAACCTCGCTAATTCGAAAACCTATATAATTAGAAATGTTTGTCTGTTCCCCTCACAAAGCCTCTAAAATTAAAAAAAATAATATACCGATAGTACAAAGTAGTTTTAAGCTTAATACAGCCTCTACAATTTGAATTTTGTTGCCATAATTAAAACTGTTACTTCCAAAATTCGAAGTCAACCTCTACAATTCGAACTGCATTACCGTAAGACAAAAAATATCTTTGTTGAAACATGAACTGACAATCCGTCCCCCAAGATGTGTTCATTAGTCTCCATTCTCTCAAACTCCACAATTAAAACTGGGACCTCCACAATTCAAATTTTATTTTTCTGACCTCTATAAATCAAACTCTTTACATTTTAAACTTCCCATAGTTCGAAATATATTTTCTTTCCTCTGAAATTCGAATAAGCTAAGTTCTACTGTACTAATTTACTTACCACTACTAAGACTTACCTTGTATTTGGCTCAGACCTCTTGATTTGGCTTGTCCGAGCCAGTCTTTGATTAACTGCCTCTAACTCAGGGTCTGTCGCTTTAGCCGAAGATGCATGAGTCTAAACATAAAAATAACACAAATTTGTTAGTGATGGGTTGAATTATGATTAAGATCATAAAAAAAATAAATCTAAAAAAGTTGTTGGCATTAACAAATTTAGGTAAACATTTACTTTGATCCTCTATAGTCTATAGGCAGCCTACATATTTTTGAATGTGATGAGTGACTACCTGAAGAAACATTAAGAGGATAGCTTTGCAATAGCCTACAATTTTATTAAAATGGTAAATTAAATCTTCTCTAGCTGGAATAAACATGATTTAATTTTTCCCAAATTAATGTTGGTACATAAAACTATAGGAAAGCCTCGACTGTCAGATGCTTCAGCAAAAATTGATAGCGGCTCTGACCATTGCAGTGATCTCGTATTTGATTGGCTAAGCCAAAAGGGATCCAGCAAGAGACTACCGTTGACTTATCACTATTGACATTAATGCACACATGGATATGATTACAAAATAATATATTAACTGTTCTTACCAAATAAGGTAATCTTGATTTAAAACAAAGATCAGAATTCAACACTCGTTTCTTCTTGAACCGTACTGATCAGATGTTACTTTTGATGCCTTGCATTTTGTTGAGCCACCTTCAAGGAATCTGTAACAAGACAATAATAACTTAGTGTAAGTTAAACATAAGTTATCGATTTTTTTTTTTTGTCGAGGCATATAAATTTTAGGTAAAATGGTGGTCAAGTTCATCGGGTTAACATATATCATTTGTCTCAAAGAGGTGAAAGGTGAGTTAACTTAGTCTTAAAATTGATCAAGATAATGCTTTGACTTAATGTAACCAAACATGCATGTAGGCTAGCCATTTTTAATTCATTAACTAAGACATAGTTGGATGAGCCACTTCAGTAACTTTGTCGTTCTACAGCCAGTTTATACTGACACCCGCAGAGCTTCCTGGATCAAACTCGCTATCGGCTTAGTCATACAATTTATTCATCCTTCATCCATCCCTTGCGATCAAACTGTTTTATGCTAACTTACCGACAAGTGTTCGTGCCCTATATGTTACCTGAAACAATTTAAAAAATGTGTATATACTTTGCGGAGCCTACTCTTAATTTTAGGCCCTGGTAATTTATTTTATAAAAGAACATTTGACGAGCCACTTGCATTTCATAAAATCTGAACCACATCCGTCAGTTAGGCCTACGATTAAAACCTAAGTTGTAACTTAATAGGCCTAAGTAAGTATTTGCCTATCTTCAAGACAGTTTGTATAAAGCACTGTCTTTATTTCCGAAAATACAATACAAAGTTTTAACAATTTCGCTACTGTTAGAATCGGCTCCGCATTACAAGACAGCAAAAAGCAGGCAGCTCCAGCAATACCTTGTTTAGGTGATGAGACCTTCATGAGGCTGAAAGTTCTAAATAGCTTACTGTTGTAATGCCTTCAAATGCCAATTCAAACTATGAACACTATGCCTAACTGATAAATAAGTAGCAAATAACAAGTTAGTGTCAGTAACTTAGTAACAGAAATCTTGCAATAATAATACTGTTGTAAGTAATGCCAATTCAAACTATGAACTATGCCTAACTGATAAATAAGTAGCAAATAACAAGTAAGTGTCAGTAGTAACAGAAATCTTGCAATAATTTTAATAATAAAAATACTCAACTGCAACTCTTGTCTTCTGCTGCACCGATCGATGTATCAACATCAACATCAACAAAACATCAAGCCAAGCCTAAAAAAAAAGTAAAGTTGATGACGTCATAACGGTGTCGGCTGCCTGACTAGAGTGCTGCCCGTGGAACAAATTTGAACTAATTAATGACGTCATCGTCCTACTACGAGTCCTCCCCTCATTGCGACCGCTAAAAATGTGGATAACACTCATTTAATGGCCTCCATGTGGACACAACGTTGTAATAGGGAATGAAACGGCTGCAACCAGCTGTATGAAGCCAATAAAGTAGGCACTAATTGTTTTGAAAATCTCAGTTTGAAAGATGTTGTTTCACGTAAGGTTGAGGTTATGGTAAAAATCACTATCTCAAACAATGTTAATGTAGCGAGAAAAGTAGCTAAAATTCCGCTACAACTACTTAAAAAATGTAGCTAGCTACAGCTAAAGCTACAAAATCACAGACAATGGAAACCCAGACGTATCACTGCGCGATGCGTAGGGCCCCGTCACATCCTGCCTCTAGCGGAGAATCGAGGAAACACGCAGTCTCGCGCTCGCCTCGCCAGTCGCCGGCCCGGCATGGTCGGCGCCTCGGCGGTCGCTGGCTTGCAATTATTAATAGCAGCACTAGCAGTTCAACTCAACTCCAAATTCACGTCTATCATTCCTCCTCCACAACTCGCGCGGTTCACCGATACCGTACTCCCTACGACTACCCGTGCATCCATCTGCCTGCGGACAGCATTTATTTTTCATTGTGTGATTATTTTAATCACATTTGCGACGAAGTTTAGCAATAAATTAAATATGGTGTTCAAAAAAGGTGGGGGACATATTTTACCTAGTGATTCCTTGGGTAAAAATAAAGAGAAAATCAAGAATAATTTTTTCTAAAATTGCTTCGTTACCCAAATATCCGCCATTTTGTATTTTTGACATACACTTTTTTATATTTTAATGTTTTTTACTGATTTTTATGAAACTTGGTATGCATGTTAAGGTAGAAAAGACCCGTGTTAGAAAAAAAGTTCATCTAGATTCAACCTACAATTTCAAAATGATGGCCATTAAAACATTTTAGCTTAAATTAGTCAAAACTGGCTGGTTTTTTGAAAATATTCCAAGTACTTTATAGTTAAAATACTGTAAAATACTGTAGAAAATACTGTTAGTTTATTAAGAAAATTAGATAAAAGTTACTTGGCTTGGTGCTTTCATAACTGCAAACTCAAAATACATCACCCACAGGTAAAAAAGAATCAAGTTATTGGTTAAAAAACTATGTTTGTGTAAAAACATTATTCTCAGTAAGTGGATGATTTGTTTGATTTCTCGATCAGCTGTCTCATTTCTAATGAATTAATAATGTCAAAGATTTGTGTTTTTAAATACATCAATTATTATAGTAAAGTTTTCTAAATATGATAACTTATTCTCAACTAAATTTTTTACTATTCCCAGCATGAAAATAAAGCAGTGAGATCCAATATGAGTAAAGTTTAAAGCACCAATCCTTGATGGAAATGTAGTATACATTAACAGTCACAGCAATTATTATGTAGTACACATTGACTATTTTCAAGTAACAAACATATGTTTCTGTAAATAAAAATTATCTCCCTTGTTATCCTTATGGAGAAATACGAAACTTTAAATGGCCCCAGGGCCTCACACTCTAATTATTCCCCTAAAAAGAAAGTTTCCTGCACAACTTCACGTTACGCTCTTTCCAATGACACCAAAAACTTGTCAATCGGTTCAGTAGTTTCGGAGGAGTAATTGTCACAAAAAACCTGCTTGCGTATTAAATAATTACTGTATAGATAATGAAAATATGGATACAATAAATGTCACATTGACCAATCTAGGAAATAATCTATACTATTATATAAAAATCTAATGGTGTCTGTCAGTATGTGTATTACTAATAGGTGCAAAAACTACTGAACCAACTGGCCTTAAATTTTACAAAAATATAGCTATCATACCAAGAACCATTATAGGACTATTCACATTTCGATACTGACCGAAGGCTTTGCCCCTTTGGCTTTAAAAGTTCTGAGGTGAACATTTTAAAAGTAAATATTGATTGGTCTCCATGGCTGCGATGATAACTCTAACAATGTTTTTTTACATTTGCTTTGACATTTAAATGTAAACAAAAAGAACTGCTAAACTGCATATTTCACAATTTCAGACAGCTGATTCAAAGAAATTAAATATAATATTTTCCATAACTAATGAGGTAGGATTATTTTAATCTAACCTTTTATCATGGATTATTTATTCTAAAACTATGTCAATCATTATAGGAAAAAATATTCTATAACCGTTGCTGTATCAACTCTGGCTCTGCTTTGGATTTTTTAAAGCGTCTAAGTTATGAAAATGAATGAATGAATGAATTATTTCTTTATTCCAACAAAGTATATACAGAATATGTACACAAATATTTAAAGGAAGAAAAAAAAACATAAGTAAATTCAAGAATAAAATAAAATAAAACTTTACATTACATCTATGTTAAAAAAAACGTACATGTTTATAAGGAATAAGCCGACATGGGCAGCGAGCCTGTGCGTCGACTGTAGTTGCGTCCAAAACATAAACATTAATAATCGAATGCAATAAATAAATAAATGACAGAGATATGATGAGGTGAAAATATGATGTTAATGGAGTTACAAGAACAAAAGTTTAAATAAAAATAATTGAACTGTAATAGTGACAGGAATTCTACGGCTTTGAAAGTGTGTCTAGAGGGGAGAAGTGGGCGGCGGATAATAATGTTATTGATATGTTTTATGGAAACAGTATGAAAATTACAATGTATAGATGTTTTGTGTGAATTTGGAGGCTACTTTAAACAAATTCTAACTGCTTAACATGTGTTTGATTAACTTAACATAACTTGCACATCACATTGTTTTTTATATGTACAATATTTAGGTACGGTACATTAAGTTATTGTGTTTTGCTAAACGCATGCTTAAATTAAACTGAAGAATATCATCAATAACTAAATTGTACGTTGATTTTTGTTTTCTAAAATATGTTGTATATGTGTAACTATATTTAATTATACAATAAAAGGTTAAATTACCTGTGTCCGCCAGTCGATCCTTGTGCTGTGTCCTGTTACAGGAGATGCATTTCGGCAGAATAAACTGCCATCATCAGTCCTAATATAAGTCCTTGTTCTTCCCTATTGGGTGTAGACGCACCCAATGGGGAAGAACAAGGAATACAGCAATAAATACAGCAAGGAATTAGCAAAACACAATAACTTAATGTACCGTACCTAAATATTGTACATATAAAAAACAATGTGATGTGCAAGTTATGTTAAGTTAATCAAACACATGTTAAGCAGTTAGAATTTGTTTAAAGTAGCCTCCAAATTCACACAAAACATCTATACATTGTAATTTTCATACTGTTTCCATAAAAACATATCAATAACATTATTATCCGCCGCCCACTTCTCCCCTCTAGACACACTTTCAAAGCCGTAGAATTCCTGTCACTATTACAGTTCAATTATTTTTATTTAAACTTTTGTTCTTGTAACTCCATTAACATCATATTTTCACCTCATCATATCTCTGTCATTTATTTATTTATTGCATTCGATTATTAATGTTTATGTTTTGGACGCAACTACAGTCGACGCGTCTACACCCAATGGGGAAGAACAAGGACTTATATTAGGACTGATGATGGCAGTTTATTCTGCCGAAATGCATCTCCTGTAATAGGACACAGCACAAGGATCGACTGGCGGACACAGGTAATTTAACCTTTTATTGTATGTCTTACCGATCCGGAACAACAACAACATAAAATGAAATATTTAATTATCAAATGGTAGTACAAAATACTCTTATTTTATCTTAACATAGCTTTCAGTTAACATTTACTTAAGTTAACATTTCAGTTAACTTTCAGTTAACATTTACAGTTAACATTCAACAACATTTCGAGTCATTTTCGGACTAAGCAAAGCAAATATAAATTGTCATTCCATACGGCATTTTCACTGCACTATAAATAGGCCTAAATACGATTATCATAAAATTTGACGACACTATCAAACATTTCAAATACTTATTTTGTAAATACTTTGCTTTGGTTGGTTAAAGCGTAGCAAATCCCCTAATTCAATTCTGTGTTTGTGTGTGTGTATGTCTGTTGGTATCGCATTAATGTCCTTATATCTCAGTGTTTCGTGGAAAAGACAAGAGCACCTTTGTTAATGAAAATTTCAACCGGAATAAAGTGTGCATGGTGAGGTTGGGGTAGTATTTTAACTACTTTTAAACAGTGTGGAATGTATTTTAAATTATAGGCCTACCTTGAGGCAATTTTTTATCATTGGATATAAAATATAGACTAACACGATAGGGTGACATTTAATTGCGAAGCATTCGTTTTGTAAACATTGTAAAACCGTCATATATTGTATTTGCGAAGGTTTATATGTATTCCTATAAAGTAATAGCACAGACCACGGAAATCTATTACAGTATTATATTGTCTGTGGTAATAGTTTTGCCAGCATATCTGGAAAATGCACACTAAATATGCAAACCAACTCCTGTTCTGAATTTAAAGGTTGAAAGTTTCAACTTACTAAAAGATCCCCGTACGTAGAACGGGCACACAGCTAGTGCCTGTATAATCTTAAAGAAACTCAACGTTTTTAAATTTTAACATTGGCCTTATAGGTTGCCATTATGGTTATAAAATAACGACGTATATGTAAACAAAACAAAGAATTATAGCATATGTTTAAAATTGGTCAATTGATGGGTCTTACCTTTTGAAATTCCCGAGTTTCCCCCAAAATCCCCCATTTTTAGGATGTACACCAAGTAGTGGTTATGCCCAAAAAGTACTTCATAACATGCCATAAAGGTGTGCCGAGTTTGGT